GTCAACTGCCTCAAATTACTCCAATCTTCGTACTTGCGCCTAAGTGTGTCACAATCGGCGAAAAATCTTCTTCGTTGTTGTGTCTAAATAAATCACAAATGGTCATTGATCCGACAGACCCTCATGATACCAACTTATAGAAGATTGGACGCTTGCCATAACAACTTTACATTATTCAAGAGTTGAGATCTTATATATACTACAAATAATTAATCTTCACGCCAACATATATATACTACAAACAGCAACGCAACATGCTCGCAATCGGAAGCTTAATGGAAGATACTCTCTCCGTTTATTTTTACTTCGCGTATAAAATTTGGTCAAAGTCAAACTACACAAAGTTTGACCAAATTTATATCAAAAAATACGAACATCTACAATACTAAAACTATATAGTATGAAAATACATTTCATGGTGCACCTGACAATATTGATTTTATATTGTGAATGTTGACATTTTTTATATAAAGTTAGTCAAACTTTATAATGCTTGACTTTGACCAAATTTTACATGCAGACTAAAAATAAACGGAGATGCTACTTATTTAATATCACATACACATCAACTTAATTGCGATCTGACCATTTCGTGGTGGGACACTACCACTTATGCATGGTGGAATGAAGATCACCTCCACACAAATGTTTGGCCACCTCATTATTGTTATTCTTTTCATTTTTCTCGAACATAGCTATACTGCTTAGTGGGTTGTGATGGTCGTGTCAAACCCACAAGGGATCAAAATACATGATTGATGTTATGTATGTCTCATTAAGACAACTTATTGTGTACGGGTCGGGTTACGTTTTGACTCGTTGTTGTAGTGTATGCGGCTAGGATGTGGTTACTGTTGGATTCAAACATGTTGTATCCTCGGCTTCCAATATAATGTGAGGGGAACCACACTTGTAGTCCATAATGAGTAGGACAGCTGACGAAAAGTCTGTTTTTAGTCCCTCCCCCGACCCCGTGCCCGCGCCGCCTCCCCGGGGGGCGGCCGGGGCGGCTCCCCCCGCTC